AGAATGAAATTATGGTATTTGCTGGTAAATGGATGGAACTGGAGGCTATCTATCATGCTAAGTGAAATAAGCCAATCCCCCCCCCCAAAAAAAACAAAGTAGGAATGTTGTCTTTGATAGGTGAATGCTGACTCACAATAGGCAGAGGTGAGGGTGGGAATAGAAGTTCACCTGATTGGATAGGAGGAATTGGGGGAGGGGGATAGGAATGGAAAAGACAGTGGAATGAATCTGACATAACTTTCCTATGTTCATGTATGAATACACAATCAGTGTAACTCCCCATCATGTATGGGAAGTTATACTCCATGTATGTGTGATATGTCAAAATACATTCTAATGTCATGTATAACTACAAAGAACAAATTAAATAAATACAAAAATAAATTCTGCAAAGAAAACCTGAGGCCCAGACGCCTTCACAGGTAAGTACTATCAAACATTTAAATAAGGAATAATACTGATTTTTAAGACAGTCCTCCAAAAAAATAGAAGCAAAAGGAAATCTTCCCACTCATTCTGTGAGGCTAGTGTTACCCTGGTGTCAGAAAAAAGACTTCACGAGAAAACTACAGACCAGTAAGTATTTCTTATAAATATAGGTGTGTGTATATGTATGTTTGTGTATACACACACACACACACACACACACACTAACAAATTGATTGCAGCAACACGGGTACAAGATGATACACTGTGACCAGGTGAAGTTTATGTGATAAATGCAAGAAGTCTTATATAACATCTGGAAATAATATCAGTAGAACAAAAGACAAGAACCACATGATCCTCTCAGAAGAAGGAGCATATGGAAAAATCCAACACACTTTCATTATAAAAACTTTTACTCAAGAAACTAGGAATAGAAGGATATATTCCTTCATAAACCTGATAAAGGTTATATTTGAAAAAAACCACTGCTAGCATTATACTTAATGATGAAAGACAGAAAAATTTCCCCCTGATATCTGGAGCAAGACAAGGATATCTGCTCTTGCCACTTCTGTTTAACATTTCCCTGGAGGTTCTATTCAATATTTCCCTGGAGCCAGCAAAACTATCTCTGTTTGCAGATGACACATTCATGTTCGTAGACAATCCAGAGAATTCACTAAATGTCCATTAGAACTAAGGTTCTGCAAATTTGCATGATACAAAATCAATGTAAGAAAATCTATTTGAAGTTAAAATTTAAAAAAAAAAAACAATTCCATGCTAGGCCCAGTGGTATATGACTATAATCCCAGCATCTTGGGAGGCTGAGGCAGAAGGATTGCAGTTTCAAAGCCAGCCTCAGTAGAATAGAAATGAGAATCTAGAAATAAACTCACACGTTGATGGCCAATTGATTTTTAACACTGTTGCCAAGAATTATTGGATCACATGGTACCTCTATATTTATTTAGTACTGCCAAACTGTTTGGCAAAGCAGCTGTACCATTTTCTCAACCCACCAGCAATGCATAAAATTTTCAACCTCTTGACATTCTTGCCAATAGTTATTATTGTGGGTGTGAAATGGAATCTTGTTGTGGTTTTGATTTGCATTTCCCTGATGGCAAATGACATTGAGCACCTTTTTGTGTGCTTATTGCTTCACTCATTTTAAACGTGGGTTATCTTTATTACTGAGTTGTAAGAGTTCTTTATATGTTCTGGATACCAGACCCTGATAGCAAAATGATTTGTAAATATTTTCTACCATGCTGTGGATTGACTGTTCACTTTCACGATGTCTACAGTGCACAAGATTTTAATTTTGCCGAATGTAATTTTTTCTCTGGCTGTTTGTGCTTTAGGAATCATATCTGAAAAAAATGTCTAATTCAAAATCACAAATTCTTTTTTCTGAGAGATTTGTAGTTGTAGCTCTTACACTTAGATTTTGGTATATTTTAATTTTGTATATAATGTGAGGCAAGTTAGAACTTTATTATTTTGCACATGAATATCCAGTTATTTCAGCACCATTTGTTGAAAAGGCTATTCTTTCCTTACTGAATTGTTCTTCCCAACAGTGTTGAAAATCCAGTTGGCCATCAGTGTATGAATTTATTTCTAAATTCTCATTTCTATTCCACTGTTCTATACCTATCCTTACACTGTACCACACAGTCTTAATTACTGTAGCTCTGCAGAAAGTTTTAAATTCAAGGAATGTAACATCTCAAAATTTATTCTTCCCTTTAATTGCTTTGATTATTCTGGGTCCCTTGCATTTCCATTTGAATTTCAGGATCAGCTTATGGATTTCTTTGAAGAATCCAGATGTGCTTTTGATTGGGAATGTATTAAATCTGCAAGTCCATCTGAAGGATATTCCATCTTTAGAATATTAAGTCTTTCCATCCATGAACATGAACTATTTTTTTATTTATTTAGGTTTTCTTTTTTAAATATTTATTTAGCTGTAGATGAACACACAGTATCTTTATTTTTATGTGGTGCTGAGGTTCGAACTCAGTGCCTCACACTTGTGAGGCAAGCGCTTGACCACTGACCTACAGCTGTAACCCCTAGGTTTTCTTTAATTAATTCAATGTTCTGTAGTCCTCGGTGTACAAATTTTACACTTTTTTTTTGCTAAGTTATTTCCAAGTATTTTATTCATATTGATGCTATTATAAATGGAATTGTTTTCTTTTTCTTTTCTTTTTTTTTGTGGGGGGGACAACCAGGGATTAAACTCAGGGGTGCTTAACTATTTTTATTTTGAGACAGGGTCTCACTAAGTTGTTTAGGCCCTCCCACTCTTAATTCTGTCTGCCCAAGAGATATGGAATCATATGTCCATTAAAAATCTTATACACAGATGTTCAGAAAAGAGTATTCATAATAGCCAAAAATGAAGGAAACCTACTATCACCTGATAGATGGATAAATGAAATGTTGTATGTCTATACAGTAGAATATTATTCAATCATAAAAAGAAAGCACTGATAAATGCTACAACATGGGTGAACCTTAAAAATATGCTAAGCAGAAGAAGCAAGTCACAAAATGAAAAATGTTCTAAAATTGACTGTGATGTTTGTTATATCAACTCTGTAAATATGCCAAAGAACATTGAATCTTATGTTTTAAATGAGTGAATTGTATGACACGTGAATTATATTTTAATAAAACTTTTTTGCAGGCATGTCTATAAAGCATCTACCAGTTTACATTGTACAGGAATGTTTACTCCACGTTGGCAAGGATCTTTATTTTGTATTCCAAGTGTATTCCCAGTGGCTTGTTCCCAATTATTGTTCAGTGATTGGCATAGATTAAGCACTCAATTAATGTTTGTTGAATGATTTTGATGTTAATAAATACAAAACCTGACTTTCAAAGAAACTAAACAGTAAGAAGAACACCAAAAATTACTCCATGCTTTTGAGTGACTAAAAAATCAGAGGAAACAGCTAGTTTGAAGTGATGGAGCTGGTTTTCGGAGACTAATCTGTGGGATGGAGAGACCTAAAAGAATAATGTTAGCCGAGTTCAAGGGACAAATTGGGCTGGTTTTAGTGGTAAAGGAGTTGTCTTACATAGATAAGAAAATTGAAATCACATGAGTAATGAGACCAGGGAGATGGAGAAAATATAGAAAAAGAATGCTGAGACTCTTTTTATTTCATGTATAAACGAAGGTGCTAAAATTTGTAAGGTTGAATAGAATTAGGATGCTGTGTGACAGTTATAGGGAGTGCTAATGATTCTGAGAGAAGCCAAAGAAGATAGGCACTCTAAATAGACCACTAGCTGTAATAAGTAGAGTTCAGGATAATGGTAGGAACTATCTCTAAGGGGATATGGAACAAATAATAATGACAAGTGGAAGCATTAAACATAGATCTCTCTTTCAACAAGTTTGGTGGTAAGAAGAGTGTTGGGTTTTCTCTTTTCACTGGATTACTTTGGTCTTCTGGCTGTTTCCCTTGTCTTATATCAACACACGTTATATTTTATTATAATTATAAGTTGTTTATATTATCTAATAGTCTTTATAAGAATAGTAACCATGCAAGGTTAATCTCCATATCCCCATGCCTAATGTATAAATAGTATTTGGATTGAATGAAATGAATTGTTCTAGTAGGCTGGCAAAGACATGACTAGAATGACTCACTACACCATGCAGATTGGATAAGAAACAAAGGAAGCCAGAATGAGCTTAGTGGATTAATAAAATAGGGAAGGGGTCAATAAATCAAAGCAGTTAAATATTGTGTGGTCAATTGAAGCAGGCAATATCCAATAATATTTCTTGTTCTTTTTGATCTTTAATCTCTGAGTAGAGATGACATATTAAGTAATAAGCTGGTTTTGTTCTGGAATGAAAACCTCTTCTTTAACTTCAGGTTACCTTAATTTTATAGGTGATTAGCTATATGATGGGCTTTCTTCCACTGGGTTTTATGATGGATGAACTAATAGTGAGTCCCAGCTCTGTCAATCAATAACTACCTACGTGGAAGAGAAAGTTTATTAGATAGATGATCTTTAAGATTCTTTCCAGGTCTCACATTCTATGATATTATTTCCAATAATTGACTTAAGACAGAGACTTCAAGAATTTGAATATAGAGCAATAAAGTGGGGGAAAAACACCTCTGCTGTATATACAAATATGATTTATAGAACTAACAGGGTTTTGTTTGTTTGTTTCAGTATTCAGGATAGGACCCAAAGGCGCTCTACCATTGAGCTACAAGTACCCCAGCCTTTCTAAAATTTTAATTTTGAGATAGGATCTTGCTAAGTTGCTGAGGCTGGCCTCAAGCTTGTGATCCTCCTTCCTCAGCCTCCTAAATAGCTTGTATTACAGGCGTGTACCACCATGCCCAGCTAGAACTACTGGTTCTTAACTCTGATAAGAGAAAATAAAAGTAGTTCACTGTATTATTGAATTTAGCCTACATATCAAGGATGTCTTGAATAACATCTTAGTTACATTACAAGATATTCTTTTACCTACCTGAACAGGAATTAAGATCTGACATTTTTCTTACCAGGACCGTAAGAGGCAATATGAACTGCTCAAACTTGAAAGAAACTTCCAGAAACAGTCCAATGTGCTCAGACGTAAAACTGAGGAGGTAAGTAAGAAAATCAAGTCTGCTGGGTAAAATGTACTGTAGTCCTCAAGCTTAGATGCTGGCAAAATAGTATCCTTAAAAAGAGCCAATGTCCTAAGAAACCAGGGTCATTAATCTTGACCAGTAATTCCTAAATCTTGATCTCTTTTTTATGTTATAAACTGAGCAGATTAAACTCTGATGGAAAATGCTATTATGCAAATAAGGATTTTTTTCCTAATTGGTCCTCTTTCCAAAAAACACAGTAATATTGATATATGACATTTCCAGTCTGTATAACTGCCTTGAAATATATTCCTCCCCTGTGCACTAACAGAGTAGCTATTTATCAATTTTATATCCATGGAGATTTATAAACCTGGTACCTATAGGAATTCAAACCTAGAACTTTTTTCTTTACCAATATACTGAATATATGCTGGAAAATGTTCTTCTTATTACCCTTCATTCAACATAATTATGTGCCATTTTTATTTAGGCAGCAGCTGCCAACAAGCGTCTTAAGGATGCTCTCCAAAAGCAGCGAGAGGTTGCAGATAAGCGGAAAGAGACTCAGAGCCGTGGAATGGAAGGTGTTGCAGCTCGAGTGAAGGTATGGACAGTTTGAACTACCATTTCTCATGTATACTGGGGATAAGAAAAAGTGGGAACTGGTTTTCTTTGGATTTAGAAATAAATAGTATCAAATTTGAAGTTCTACCTGAATGCCTTATTGCCTAAAACATTAATATCTTCGAACTGTTGTTAAGGACCATATTGAGGTTCAGTTATTTTTTTAACAAATTTATTGAGGCATGCTTGACATTCAATAAATTGTACATATTTAAAATGTACAAATTGGTGAGTTTTGATGCATGTCTGCACCTGGGAAATCATTACCATAATCAAGTTAGTGACAATGTCCACTATCGCCCCCAATTTTTTTTCTTTCCATCCCTGGCACACCCCACTCCCCAGTCCAGGCAATGATTGCCTGGAATCCCCAATTAATCTGATTCTGTCATTATAGATTTGTTTTTATTTTTTACAATTTTGTAAAAATGAGACAATACATTATGCATTTTTTTCTGGCTTTTATTCAGCATTATTCAGAGTCACCTATGAAATTACATGTATCATTGTTACTTTTATTATTGAGTGGTATCCTGTTCATTTTATGGATACACCATAATTTGTTCATCTATTCACCTGTTGATGGATATTTGTTTTCAGTTTGGGGCTATTAGAAATATTAGCATTTATGTACAAGTCTTCATGTGGACATGTGTGCTTTTATTTCATTGGGGTAAATATTTATGACTAGTATTGCTTTCTGATATGGTAAGTGTATGTTCTAGTTTTTTTTTTAACTTTATTTTATTTATTTATTTTTATGTGGTGCTGAGGATCAAACCCAAGGCCTTGCACATGTGAGACGAGCACCCTACCGCTGAGCCATAACCCCAGCCCCTGTTTTAGTTTTTAAGTAACTGCCAAATTGTTTTAGTTTTTAAGCAACCACCAAATTGTTGTATCATTTTACATTCCTTCTACCAATGTATGAGGGTTCTAATTGCTCGCATTCTCACCAATACTTAGTATGGTCAATCATTTATTTATTTATTTTTGGTACCAGGGATTGATCCACTGAGCCAAGTCTCCAGCCCTTTTTAAAATTTTTTTATTTGTTTTAATTAGTTATACATGACAGTAGAATGCATTTATGCACGTTGATATATCATACATAGATGAGATATAATCTCTCATTTGTTTGCCTTTTTTAATTTTATTTTGAGATAAGGTCTTGCTGAGTTGCTTAGGGCCTTGCTAAGTTGCTGAGGTTGGCTTTGAACTTGGGATCTTCCTGCCTCAGGCTCCTGGGCCGCTGGGATTACAGGCATGTGCCACTGTGCCCAGCTTCACTTTGTACATTTAAATTTTTTACCTGTCTGTAGTTTGTTTTGGCAGAGTGGATGCAATGGAGGGCAGGGATGGACTTTTCTGTTTTCTTAGTCTGTGATCTTCTGGGTCTCTGAAGTGATTGTTCTGGTGGTGGTCTGAGTCTGGGTGGCAGGCACTGTTTCCTCGGATACAAACTGGACTGTGCCAGGGGCCATTCCCACCACGCTGGTCAGCTGGCAGCTGCTCTGCTTGTGAGCTACAAAGGCATCTAGGTTGTTAAACTGCTGCTTGCAGATGCCACGGATGTGGATGTCTGGAGTCAGTTCAACCAGCACGGTTGTGCTGCCTGGAATTTGCATGGAGCCCAGAAAGCTCTCGCCCTCACCGCTCACATTCATGGCCGCAGACTGGGAGGTCCCCGGCTGGCTGCAGTGCCAGGGCAGGGGGGAGGGGGGCGCTGCTCTACATGGTGCAAGGACTTTTCCTTTTATTTTTTTCCACACCCCCCAACCTTCCTTCTCCCAATTCTGTGAGGCTGGGAGGACAGATGATAATTTCTCATTTTTCTGAGTATATGTGTTTCAGAATCATATTGGTCATGTAGTCACATATATACATACAGTAATAATGTCTGTTTCATTCTACTATCTTTCCTATCTCCACGTCCCCTCCCCACCCCTCCCATCACTTGCCTCTACCTAATCTAAGGTAACACTATTCTTCCCTAGTGCCCTCTGCTTTATTGTGAATTAGTATCCACATATTAGAGAAAATATTCAGCCTTTGGTTTTGTGGTATTGGCTTATTTCACTTAGCATGATATTCTCCAACTCCAACCATTTACTGGCAAATGCCATAATTTTACTCTTTTTTTAAAGCTGAGTAATATTCCATTGAGTATATATACCACATTTTCTTTATCCATTCATCTATTGAAGGACACCTAGGTTGATTCCATAGTGTAGCTATTGTGAATTGAACTGCTATAAACATTGATGTGGCTGTGTCACTATAGTATGCTGATTTTACGTCCTTTGGGTATAAACCAAGGAGTGAGATAGCTGGGTCAAATGGTGGCTCCATTCCCAATTTTCTGAGGAATCTCCATACTGCTTTCCAACAATTTGCAGTATGAGTGTACTTTTTTCACCACATCCTTGCCAACATTTATTGTGGCCTGTATTCTTGATGATTGCCATTCTGATAGGCGTGAGATGAAAGTAGTTTTGATTTGCGTTTCTCTAATTGCTAGAGATGTTGAACACTTTTTCATATATTTGTTGATCAATTGTATTTCTTCTTCTGTGAAGTGTCTGTTCAGTTCCTTAGCCCATTTATTGATTGGGTTATTTGTTTCTTTGGTGTTAAGTTTTTTGAGTTATTTAAATATCCTAAAGATTAATGCTTTATTGGAGGTGCATGTAGTAAAGATTTTCTCCCAATCTGTAGGCTCTCTCCTCACATTATTAATTGTTTCCTTTGCTGAGAAGAAACTTTAATTTGAATCCATCCCAATTATTCATTCTTGATTTTACTTCTTGCGCTTTAGAAGTCTTGCTAAGGAAGTCAGATCCTAGGCTGAGGTGGTGAAGATTTGGTCCTGTTTTTTTCTTCTATAGGCACAGGGTGTCTGTTCCAGTGCCTAAGTCTTTGATCCACTTTGAGTTGATTTTTGTGCAGAGTGAGAGAGAGAGGTTTAATTTCATTGTGCTACATATGGATTTCCAGTTTTGCCAGCACCATTTGCTAAATAGGCTATCTTTTCTCCAGTGAATGTTTTTGGCACCCTTGTCTAGTATGAGATAACCATATTTATGGGTTTGTCTCTGTGTTCTCTGTTCTGTACCATTGGTCTACAAGTCTATTTTGGTGCCAATACCATGCCATTTTTTGTTACCATAGCTCTATAGTATAGTTTAAAGTCTGGTATTGTGATGCCTCCTGCTTCACTTTTCTTGCTAAGGATTGCTTTAGCTATTCTGGGTCTCTTATTTTTCCAGATCAATTTCATCATTGCTTTTTCTATTTCGATGGAGAATGACATTGGTATTTTAATAGGAATTGCATTAAATCAGTATAATACTTTTGGTAGTATGGCCATTTTGACAATATTAATTCTACCTATCTAGGAGCATGGGCACTCTTTCCATCTTCTGAGGTTTTTTTCAATTTCTTTCTTTAGTGTTCTGTAGTTTTCATTGTAGAGATCTTTTACCTCTTTTGTTAGATTGATTCCCAGATGTTTTTTTTTTTGGGGGGGGGGTTGAGGTTATTTTGAATGGAGTAGTTTTCCTAATTTCTCTTTCAGTGGATTCATCACTGATGTATAGGAACGTGTTTGATTTATGGGTGTTGATTTTATATCTAGCTACTTTACTGAATTCATTTATTAATTCTAGAAGTTTTCTGGTCGAATTTTTTGGATCTTCTAGATATAGAATCATGTTACCAGCAAATAGTAATAGTTTGAGTTCTTCTTTACCTATCCCTTTAATTTCTTTCTTTTATCTAATTGAATAGAAGTGATGAAAGAGGACATCCTTGTTTTATTCCAGTTTTTAACGGGAATGCTTTCAATTTTTCTCTATTTAGAATGATGCTGCCCATAGCTTTTACAATGTTGAGGTATGTTCCTACTATCCTTAGGTTTTTAGTGTTTTGAACATAAAGGTGTGCTCTATTTTTTTCAAATGCCTTTTCTCCATCTATTGAGATGATCATATATGATTCTTGTTTTTAAGTCTATTAATATGATGAATTGCATGTATTGATTTCCATATGTTGAACCAACCCTGCATCCCTGGGATGAATCCCACTTGATCGTGGTGCACTATCTTTTAATATGTTTTTGTATGCAATTTACCAGAATTTTATTGAGAATTTTTGCATCTATGTTCATCAGGGATATTGGTCTGAAGTTTTTTTTTTTCTTGATGTATCTTTGTCTGGTTTTGGTATCAGGGTGATATTAACCTCATACAATGAGTTTGGAAGGGTTCCCTCCTTTTCTATTTCATGGAATACTTTGAGGAGTATTGGTTAATTCTTCTTTGTAAGTCTTGTAGAACTTGGCTGAGAATTCATCTGGTCCTGGGCTTTTCTTTGTTGGTAGGCTTTTGATGGTATTTTCTATTTCATTATTTGAAATTGATCTGTTTAAAGCATGTATGACCTCCTCCTTCAATTTGGGTAGGTCATATGTCTCTAGAAATTTGTTGATGTCTTCAATATTTTCTATTTATTTGAGTATAAATTTTCAAAATAGTTTCTAATTATCGTCTGTATTTCAGACAGGTCCATTGTGATATTTCCTTTTTCATCTTGTATTTTAGTAATTTGAGTTTTCTCTCTCTTTCTCTTTGTTAGCATGGCTAAGACTCTGTCAATTTTATTTATTTTTTCAAAGAACAAATTTTATGTTTTGTAATTTTTTTCAATTGTTTCTTTTGTTTTGATTTCATTAATTTCAGCTCTAATTTTAATTATTTCCTATCTTCTGATTTTGGTTTAATTTATAATTTCATCCTTGATTTCTTTTACTATCCATTCATCATTCAATTGTGTATTATTTAGTCTCCATTTGTTACAGTGGCTTCTATTTTTTATTTTTATCATTGATTTCTGAATTTCATTCCATTGTGGTCTGATAGAATGCAGGGTATTATCTCTGTTTTTTTGTATTTACTAAGAGTTGATTTGTGGCATAAAATA